CATCACTATAAGCCTTGCAAGCAATGTGACTAATGAATTAGTTGCGGGATGATGCATTACAGAACGAGTAAAGAGACTTGCCGGTAACGAGATAGAACTAGGTATTGAGATACCGACGATCGAATCTCGGGCAAGTAACATACCGATGACAAAGGGAACAACATATGTTGTTATGCAGTTTGACCGGTAAAGATCTTCGTAGAATATGTAGGAACCAATATGAGCATCCAGGTTTCGCTATTGGTTATTGACGGAAATGAGTCTTGGTCATGTCTACATAGTTCTCGAACTCATAGGGTCCGCACGCTTAACGTTTGATGATGATCGCTATTATGATTTTATGTGTTTTGATGTACCGAAGGTAGTTCGAAGTCCCGGATATGATCACAGACATGACGAGGAGTCTCGAAATAGTCGAGACATAAAGATCGATATATTGGAAAGCTATGTTTGGACATCGGAATGGTTCCGGATGAGTTCGGGTATTTTCCGGAGTACCGGGGGGTTACCGGAACCCCCGGAGAGTCAATGGGCCTTATTGGGCCTTAGTGAGAGAGAGGAGGAGGCGGCCAGGTGGAGGGCGCCCCCCCAAGCCCAATCCGAATTGGGGGGTGGGGGCTTTCCTTCCCTCTCTCTCACTCTTCCTTCTTCTCCTACTCCAACTAGGGAAGGGGGCGGGGGGGAACCAACTCCTACTGGGAGTAGGACTCCCCCTTGGGTGCGCCATAGAGAGGGCCGGCCCTCCCCTCCTCCACTCCTTTATATACGGGGGAGGGGGCACCCCATAGACACACAAGTTGATTGTTTAGCCGTGTGCGGTGCCCCCCTCCATAGAATTCCACCTCGGTCATATCGTTGTAGTGCTTAGGCGAAACCCTGCGTCGGTAACTTCATCATCACCGTCATCACGCCGTCGTGCTGACGAAACTCTCCCTCGGCCTCAATTGGATCAAGAGTACGAGGGACGTCACCGAGCTGAACGTGTGCAGATTGCAGAGGTGCCGTGCGTTCGGTACTTGATCGATTGGATCGTGAAGACGTTCGACTATATCAACCGCGTTTCATAACGCTTCCGCTTTCGATCTACGAGGGTACATAGACATACTCTCCCCCTCTCGTTGCTATGCATCACCTAAATGGATCTTGCATGTGCGTAGGAATTTTTTTAAAATTACTGCGTTCCCCAACAATAGGGGTATAGAAATAGGATATTCCGATAGCACGTCTATGTCAGCGTCTATTTTGGATAAAAGAAAAAGAGCCCATGGGACGCAGAGTTTCTGCACCCGAGCTCAAATGAGCTCGGGTGAACAGTAAAATCAAAACAAAATCATTTTTTTTAAAAAAAATTCTAATTTTTTGTGAGAAATATTGACAAAAGTTTTAAGTGCTTGCATTTTTTTTTCATGAAATCACATTCTATAAGGCGTGGTGAAAAAAATCAGTACTCTGAAAATGCTACTTTCAAAAGCATTTTCGAGCACTGAATTTGTTTTTTTCCCACGCCTTACAGAAATGTGATTTCATGACGATTTTTTGCACGCTCTTAGAACTTTCGTCAATGTTTTTCAGAAAAACAATTTGGAACTTTTTAATTTTTATTTTATTTTTTTGATTTTACTGTTCACCAAGCTCATTTGAGCTCGGGTGCAGAAAAGCACTTTCGGTGTAAAAGGGCACTACCATTTCAAAAAATGCTACACCTACGCACACCTACGTTCCCATCCTATATGTAAACTCCCTAATTAATCTCTCCACCCCCCTTATTTCAACTGGGTGGGCCCCCTTATCTAATTTCGCCCAACAACAAAAAATGCTACCTGAGCTATTACGTTAATTACGTAAGACTGATTACGTAGATGTAGCATTGCTACTACCATTCAGATTGGCCAGTTAGCTCTTGTTTCTTGAAAAGCCACTTTCTCCTGTGATTAGCATGAGATTAAGGCAGGCGTCGGCGCCCCGTCTCGTGCCCTTGCGTCCGCCTGCATCTGCTCTCCCTGCTTTCATGCTCACCATCCGATTCATGCCGCGAGCCGGGGATGCAGCCTAGTTCTCTACTCCAGCTAACGAACTAGCCAAGGTTGACACATTATACTATACCGATCCCTCTCAGTTTCTCATCTTGTATCAGTTTTGAAACTTTAAATTGGTCGAGTATCAAGAATTCGTGTGTGTGTCCTAAAAATTATCGTGATGCAAATTATTTTGTACGAGTTCATATCTATGATGCCAAAAGGAAAAAAAATCCTACGTCAATCGTATACAATACAGCTAATTCTAAGATTAAAATTCAGCAACTATGAAAACAAAAAAAGCGCCAAACACTGTTATTTAAGACTAATTTGTTTTCTATGTTGGTTCCTTCGAGTTTTCAACTACTGAAGTTGTTAGGCTGGTCTGCAAGTTTTCAACCTCGTTCTTTATGAATATCTTTTACGCTGGATTAGTTTTTTTTATCTACTTGGCTTGGCTCCCTATGCTCAAATCCTGGCTCCGCCCCTACGGCTGGCGCTCGGCTTACTTTTTTTTTGTTGAGAAAGCTCGGCTTACATATATGACATGCGCATCAGCTAGCACTCGGCCTACTCCTGGCACGGTTAGCATGGGCTGACGTTTTTTGTCTCGGCTTATTTTTTTTTCTCGAATATGCACGAGTGTGCATATTATATATTAAAGAAGAAAGGCAAAGAGTGCCTCCATCATGTCTCGGCCTATTTGTATGCCGAGCCATTGACAAAAGACACTCGGCTTACACCTATATGCGGACGAACTTGACGTGAGTGTCACACACGGCCTACCGTACGCTGAGGTAGATTCATCCTTCGTCGGGTGGTTTGCACACCCAGCGTAGTATGTTTTCCCTGTTGTGTGTGTAACAGTACGTAACAGTAACCCCTTATTACCAACCAAAGCATGTATGATCACAAATATCCACCACCACCGCGAGAAGCCAGCATTCCAACAGCCACATAAACAAAGTAACAATTACTAGTTAATTAACCGGCAAGTGTACGTGAGCAGGGGCGGGCCCAGGAATTGAAGTGTGTGTATTCAAATTTCAAAAACTTTTTTTGAAAGCCTATAACCTTCCTTTTGGCGTGTATAACCATTATAGCAACATATTACTAGTTGTGAAATATATTAAAAAGGATATCTTGTAATATATTATACTTATAAAAATTAATCATAAATTGGAATTGTCCAACATATAGAAGTAATAATTTTTCAGCATAGCATGGCAAAATTTAGGATAAATAGAGGATAGAAAATTGGAAATGATAAGAAAGCTTACAAATGAAATGATAAATTTGCAATCCCCGATGTTTTGAAAATGAGCGATGATTTCTTCATCCTTAACTTGCAAGCATAATTCCCTTTCAATGACTAATCTTTATAGGTTATGCTGATTGTAACAAATTCAAAATTTATACACGCTCTCACATTACAAATTCAAATGAAAAGTTGCAAATTATCATATCTAAACAATTCATAGTTAACTGCAAACAACTCTCTAATTCATTATAATTAAATAGAAGACAAGTGATCAAACTAACTTACTTAGGCCGTGTTCGGTAATACTCCGCTTCTTAACCACGGAGCAGAGCGGACAAAGCGCCCATTTAGCTGCTCGCCCAATACACTAGATGCCGCTCCGCTCCCGCAGCGGAGTTAGGAACAGAGAGTTTCCGAACGGCCCCTTAGTCTTCGTACGTTTGTACTGCAGCCTGCTGGACAGTACAAGAAGAAAACCATGCCCCTGCCAGCAGTGAGAAATGAATTCAGTTCGACTAAGAAATAAAAATCTGCATGAGAGGAGAAATCCCAGTTTCAGAAGGCGAATGATTAATATATCTAATTAGCAATTATATTTGAATCTGTGGGTTGTGGATTTGAAATTGCATCTATGCCTGATGCCCGTTGCAGACTGCAGGGATCAGAATCAATGGGTTGGGGAATGGATTTGTTGCGCCGTCCGCGCCGCCGCACGCACGTGCGATCGCCGATCAGGCGATGGCAACAGCTCTGGCCGCATGGCGGCTCGCGTGCGAAGAGATCGAACAGGGGAAGGGAGGTGACGGTTATCCTGCGCCTGATCGATGGACAGTTTTTTAGGGCGATGATGGACGTGTGTGGGCTGTGAGGTACAGCCATTTGGGCCAATGGGCAGTCGTGCTGTTGAGGGAAAACAGAGGGTGGGCTAGCCTCTGTTTTTGGGCTGAAATGCCTATCTTGCATGTGTTGCGTATCAGTTCCGTTTTTCCTTATACGTACACAATATTTATACAACATATACCTAGTTTTTTTTGGCAAAAATCATGGGTATTCAACTGAATACCCTTGAATTGAGGTGGGCCCGCCCCTGTACGTGAGGTGAGAAGATCGACCCACTCTAACAGGGATTCAGGTCTTTTATTTGATTGCTGCGTATGTCCATATCCATACTAATGAGACCAGGATGGATTTCTTTTATTGAATTAGGAATTGTTTTCTCCTTTTGTGGCCCCAGAAAGTTCTGGGGCATGGGTCATCTTAGGAAAATTCCAAGTACTTGCACAACACATTTGTCTGTACTGCCACTAGTTCAATTGGGCTGGAATCAAATTTTCCACTACATTGCAGCAGATGTATGGGAAGCCGCCGGATCGGACCACGGCGACGACTAGAAGACGGAGACCCCGTCCTTTTCTTTTCTAGTCTTTCTTTGAGAGAAGGCCTCCCGGGATGGCACAGGCCACATGGCATGCAATCACAAAAGTCTCGAGCGGGTGCAAGTAGTGCAACAGGGCTGGAATTTTGCACTGCCGTGCGGGCACGGTTATCTTGATTCCATGCCACAGGGGCGGAGTGGACACATGCATGCATCTGCAATTCTGCATACATACGTCTGTACCTGATTCTATATATATGATCGACCACTTCAAGGTGAAGTTGTACCCCATGCATCACTCCTTACTACTACTCGGCCACAAATCTTCCTTCCCATCCAAACCAAAACAATGGCTAGTGTCATGTTTTTGTTCTTCACGCTCTTCTTGTACCCCTACGGTGCAGCGTCGCTAGCCAACGGAGATGTCACCGCTGTGCAAATGCACGCACTCCTGTCCTTGAGGGGCATGGTGTCCGATCCATTTGGCTCACTCCTTTCTTGGAACAGCTCCAACCACCCGTGCAAGTGGCGTGGCGTTGGATGCAGCCGCAAGCACGCTGGAAGGATCGTTGAGCTTAACCTCAACTCCTTGGGCTTGATTGGGGGCATCTCGCCCTTACTGGCCAACCTCTCGTATCTCCGTGTGCTTGACCTTGGGGAGAACCAACTGAGAGGGCACATACCCTCGGATCTCGGTCATCTTCGCCGGCTTCGGGTATTGAACCTTACCATGAACTCGTTGCAAGGCAGCATTCCTACTTCTTTGAGAGGTTGCACCCAACTCACGAAGCTTATCCTGGCCCGCAACCAGCTGCACGGTGAGATCCCAGGTGAGCTCGGTGCCTTGAGAAATCTTGCCATCTTGAAACTTCAAACCAATGCTTTGTCCGGGAAGATCCCATCATCATTGGGAAACATGTCATCCCTTCTCATATTGAGTCTATCAAACAACTCCTTGTCGGGCATGATTCCTGCTTCTCTTGGCAATCTACCAAACCTCACACAGATTTTTCTTTCGCAAGATCGGCTCTCCGGTGCTATACCTTCGTCTCTTGGTCGGTTATCTAATCTTGTATCTCTTGACTTGGAAGTCAACAGCCTCACCGGGACTATACCTTCTCCTATTTGGAACATATCATCTCTTGTTGGCTTTTCTGTACGTGACAATAAGCTTACGGGGACAATACCTCCGAATGCATTCAATGACCTTCCTCTTCTCGAGCTTCTCTTTATGGGGAACAATAAATTTCATGGAGAGCTCCCCTCTTCACTTACCAATGCTACAAGTCTCTGTTCAATTTGAGCACTTCTTCTTTGATACAACCCCCCTGGACACATCAATGGTCCAGATTAAAAGATACCCTTTCGTGAGAATAAGTGAGTAGGGGTAGGATGGGAAATCAAGGTGGGGGAGGCGTACCGCGGCGTAGCGAGGCGCGTGTCCGTACGGCCCGCTCTACGCCCGTACGTGGGCGGTGTACGCCACGTGAGGAGGAGGGCGGGCCCACGCGTACTAAAACCTAATCCATTAATTCGCCGCGGATTAGGCGAACCATTAACGCCGGCGTAGTGAGCCGTCCCGTCGCCGGCGTCGGTCCGCGGGCGGCACGGATTCACACGCCACCGCCTGCCGCGCGCCTGCGCACGCCACCGCTTGACCGCCCGCGAACGCCGCCCGCTCGTACTCAGGCATTAATCGCCGCCGCCGATTCACACGCCGCTGCCTGCCCTTCTGCGCCCTTTGACCGCTCGGCTGCCCACCGGCATTGATCGCCGGCACCGATTCACACGCCGCCGCCTGCCCTTATGCGCCCTTTGACCGCTCGGCTGCCCACCGGCATTGATCGCCGGCACCCCCCGCCCCACCCACCACTGCGCCCTATAGAAAGCGCCTCGCGCCCTCCGTCGGCTCGCACACCGCCCTCGCCTCGCCTCTCCTTCTCCCCCCTTGTCGCCGGCGTCCTCCTCTTGCGCCCTTCACCACCTCGCGCGCCCTGCCTCTCCCTCTCGCCGACGATGACCCGCCCCAACTTGACGATGGAGGAGGCGGAGGAGCTCGCCCACTTCGGCATCCCCGCCGCGCCTGACGTGCGCCTGCCGGCGAGGTGGCGCCTGAGCATCGACGACGTCCCCGTTGCGCCGGTGCCCGAGGTCGGCACCCACCTCTTCGCCCACGCCGTCGGCCTGTACAGGGCGCGCCTGTCGCCGGAGGAGCTCGCCGACCCCCAGTACGCCCCTAACAACCCCGGCTGGGCGGACCGCCTCGCCGACGATCAGCTGCGGCGTCTCCACACCTACGCCGGCCCGCGCCCCCCACGAAGCACAACCGCGCGCGGCGGCATCAGCTCTGGGACGGCCGCACCTTTGAGGAGGTGGTTGCGCCGTACCGCGCGCAGGCGGTCGCCGGCGTCGTGCCTGCTCCGCCGGGGGACGGCTTTCAGCTGTACCGCCGCGGCGAGGCGCGCTCGACCCGCGCCCGCCTTGACTTCGGCGCCATGCACCCGCCCCCGCCCCGCAGAGGCCGAGGCGGTGACCGCGGCGTTGTCCGCCTCGGTCCCGGCGATCGCCGTACGGCGGGCAGGAACGGCGCAGGGTCCAGCCGCGCCCCTCCGCCCGAGCCACGGCAGCAGCCAGAGCCGGCATTGGTGGCGGAGTACAGGCGGCTGGCGGCGGAGGCCGGCGACCTGGACGACATGCCGGGCTACCTGACGGCGCTCCGTGAGTCGGAGAACATGCCGCAGCCGCCGCCGCTCGTTCAGGAGTACCTTCAGGTCGCCCCGGGCGCCGTCCACCCGGAGGACCCGGAGGACTTTCCCGGGTACCACGCTACGCTCGAGGACTCGATGGCTGCGCCGGCCGTGCCCGTGGTGCCCCTCGACGACAGCAGTAGCAGCAGCGACGACAGCGATAACGGCGATGGCCTGTATGACGAGGCAGACTTCGGCGATGTGGAGGACGAGTAGTTTAGGGTTTATTTGAAAATGTCGTTTAGTAATGTTTAATTATTTTTGTAATGTTCTTTAGTTAAGTTTTATTTCTAGTACAATGTAAAATATCTATGAAAACTCTAATGAAATATCGAGTGTTTGAATGGATGGTTTTTAAATGTTGTTGAACAATCAAGTGTTGAAATCGATACTGTTATTTTTAGTTTTAAAAAGAGTTGTATCGTAAAAAAAATGAGAAAAGAATTAAACTAGAAATGTAAATATAAAACAAAACAATAAAAAATTGACATAATATTTACAAAACAAGTTAGAAGATTTAAAAAAAAACTATTGTATTGTAAAAAATAAAATTCAGAAAAAAAGTAAACTTGAATTGAAAAAAACCTATGTAAACTAGAAAAGTAAATATAAAACCAAACAATAAAAAATTGACATAATACTCGCAAAACAAATTAGAAGATATATTTAAAAAAATTGTATTGTAAAAATAAAATATAAAATAAAAATTAAACTTGAATTGAAAAAAACTTATGAGAAAAGCCTATTTAAACTGGTGCGGGCGAGCTCCGGCAGGCGAGGTGCGAGCGGCCTGCCGCGGTGCTGCGCGTTGACTGGCGAGGTGGGCCGCTGTAAGGCGCAGTGCGAGCGGCCTGCCGCGGCGCTGCGCGTCGACTGACGAGGTGGGCCAATTTCAGTAGGCCTAGTGGGCCGCTGGAAGGAGCGCCTACGAGCGGTCGAGGGCGCAGGGGCGGGGTGGATGATTTCGTTTAGTCCCACCTCGCCCGCCGAAGGACGCCCAGACCGGCTTATATAGGCGGATTCATGCACCTTATCAGATAAGATAGATAGTAATAATGTGAGTTGACTTTGCATTGCCCGGGCAGCTGCGGTAGTGCTGCTAGTGCATTGTAAATTCAGATCACATCACTATTATGTATCTTATTTTTAATAGTTTAGCATTTTATGCAAAGTTCGTTTTATTAATACATAAAGTTTTGTAATATTTTTGTCCGGTCAGCGTTTTAGTTGTTTCAAATTCATGCATCATATTAAGAAGGTCAATTTTTTGACATCTTCAGAATGGCCTGAAATTTTGCATGTGAGTTAGTATGCCCATTCTCACACATAATCCAAAAATTTATGGTATTTCGATACGAAGAGCACGTTGCGTCACGTCCGGTCAGCATTTAAAGTGTTTCGACCGAAAAAATTATAGAAAATTCATAAAATGGCAAAAAGCCACGAAACTTGTCATGCATCCTATTCATGATGGTACAAGACTGTGAGAAAAATTGGGTTCATTTGAAGGATGTCGAAAAATAACTCGTTTTCGGACATGGCCTTTGCTCATACCCGAATGGTCTACGAAGAAGAAGGTCAATTTTTTGACATCTTCAGAATGGTCTGAAATTT